ACTCATTACTGCCCAAATCTCCATCTGTTCTTTTGCTTCAGTCTTTAAGAGTTGTTTTGCAGGCAGAACAGGCTGACCTTGATCTTCCACTGTATCAGAGAATTGCAAGCTCTGTCAGCAGTACGTCTACTACTTATTCATTAATGGTGCTGGCATATGCACTGCATAACACTAGGTTGTTGGCTTTATGCTTGAGATTACCCTACCGGTAACCTCTTTCCAACTTTATAATTCTTAAGATATTTGTTGTCATCTTCCCTTTAGGCAATTTCTTGATGGTGTTACAATTGACTTGGAAAATGAAGTGTACACCAGGGATGCTTTTTGGTATTGTCATATGGGAGGTATTCAGTAGTGAGTCTTTAATGACCCTTTACTATCTTCACTCCTTACTTACAAGGAGTACTTAAACAATTTCTTCTATTTTCATATAAAACTGAGCCAAACTAATTTTTACTAATTATCCTTTTCAGTGTGCCAGACTCCACCCTTAGAAACTGTAGCTTGTTTAAGGGAAAATGGATATTGTAGAAAAAACAGGGCATTTCTTTTAACTTACTGTGGCAACATGTGACTATGGCAGATGAGCAGGAATTCTTCTTCCAGTGATCTGCTGTTGAATCTTTGCTAGTTTTCTGTGAGAAACTACTTTAGACTTTTATGTGGTTAAATCTTCTGGAAAGGAAGTACACCACCTTCTATACTACTATTAAAATTTGTTCTTCACTTGTATCTGGGAAGTTAAAGACCTTGACACTAATGATAGTTGTACCATTATGAAGACAAGTATCATTTGGTATCTTCAGCTTTGTCTAGTCCTCCTGGGCCAGGTGGTTTTATACTTAGGAAATTGCTACTCTGATGCAAAAGCATGTTCCTGTCTTGTGAAATTATGGTACCTCTCAGGGTGAAAAAGTAACATGTCTATGGCAACTCTAGAGAAACCCTACTGTTGTACTTGCTATAGTAAGAGGCTTTGCCTCTTTCATCACTTAGACCAGTTCTTGTGCTTGTTTGTCCTGCTTGTACTAGTGAAAAAATCACTGTGTTTTTCTGTCTCTGTTGTCTTTGAGAGAGAGAGACTTGCACTGCAGAAAGTACATGAGCTATATATTTGAAATAACTTTGATTTGATTGTTTTCTTTAAACTTTAAATACCACAAAACCAGACTTTGCCAATTCATTTAAAACTGAATTAAACCCCTAAGTATTGAGAAGTTTTTCTTAAATGGCTTCACTTGCCAGAACAGTAGGAATTGCTGTCCCTCTGGTTTGACTTCTGCTTTTCTCCTGTCTCCCACCAGTGAATAGTGAAGCCAATCCATGTATGTTTAAAAGTAGTAAATTAAACCTGCTGTATGGAGCATGTTCTGAGTGGGTACATTGGAGAGTACTTTAACGAAAAAGACATCAAAAGCCAGTACTGGCATGGTTTTTCAGGCTAACAACTGCCTTGGATTGAGTAAATGGTGAATTACAAATGTTGTAGTTCTGTGACTTCAGTTTTCAGTTTAACAGTGTTAAGTCAATCTGATCAATTTTACTGTAATCTGGTTTTTAGAAATTAGGACTTTTATCTTAAGCTTTCATGGAGCATGTCTCCTTTCAGCACTGACATATGCTGAGAACAGCAGTAAGATGAATGACGGGTGGAATTATTTTTAAATCTGTTATACAGTTGGGAGAAACTGAAGAGAAAACACTTCATGAAGTTTACTATACCAGCTTTTTTAGCAGTATTATATTTCAATGCATAGCTCTTCCAATTAATTGTTACTTTAAACCAGGTAGACACCTAGAACTTTAAGACTCATACTGTCTAACCTGAATTTTGCTGCTTATGACTTCAGGCAACTGTTTACAAAGCCATCTTTCTTAACTGGGGAATTGGTATTGGTTTCAGATAGCGTAAAAGAGGCAGAAAGAAATTATGAAAGAGAAGGCATTTTAATGACTTGTTCTAGCTGGTTCTTACTTGCTTAAAAAGCAAAGCAAAAACAAACTTTGAGTTGTTTGTTATTTTGTTTGGATGATCTTGATACAGGAAGGTGCTGCAAGCAATTACAGACTAATTACATCGTAATCTCAATATTGCTGAAGGGTGAGCACACATTTCAAGCAGCTTCTCCTTTGCATGAAAAAGCACACGTCATCACTGCATGAGGGACTTCATTCTCATGATCCATATACAGTTGCCTTCCGTTTCTGATTTAGCAGCAGGTAAAGCTGCTAAAGCAGGTTTTACATTAAAAAAAAAAAGCAAGCCCCACCCCCAACCACCTGAATAACTCCAGTAGCCTGAAAATTTTTTCTCCCATCTTGAGAAGCTGAAACATTCAGGTGTGGGTAGGAGGAAATGAGGAGTAAGCCACCATGACACCATTATTCACAGAGCAGGTCTTTAAAATGGATGAGGCAAAGCTGGTGACGTGATGTCCATGACACTACCTAACTATGAATCGCAAGTATTTGTGGCAGTGTGCTGAAGCTGTGGTAAGCTTTTTTTCTAGGCTGGACTTAGTTTTGTGAGCAACTGCTTTACCATGGTTGAAACTACCTACTTGAGAATCTTATTTGTGCATGCCTCATTCTCCAGTTCTGGAGACCTAAAAAACACACTTTTCTCAAATACAGAGTTTTGAATCTTGGTGTTAGTAGGTGTGCAGGGCAAAGGATGAAGTTTTCATTCCACACATATTTTATAGAATAAATGGTGTTGGAAATACACCATGGCATTATGTTGACAAGTCACCTTCCCCTTGCACATTGCTTCTGCCTCCTGCCTGGCACGAGTTAGCTAAATACTGAACAACTGATGATATGTTGTGACATGCTGTCAGAGTACCAACACAAGCGGAGCCCAGAAATGAGGCCTGGGCTGCAGTGTTTTTCAAAACCCTGCTATTCTTACTGGTAGGAGGAAGGGGGAGGGATTTTTTTTCATGGTAGGAAAAGGCTGTGTTTTTGCACTGTACTGAAGAGTCCAGCTCCAGGGTTCCGTGCTCGCTGGTGTCTGAATGGTTCAGTGTTTTGGCGAGGCTCTGGCTTGGCTCTTAGCCCATCCTGCTGTTGTTCTGCTTTGTTGGTGTGCTTGGACGGTGTCCAGAACAAGGTCAGTTGTAGTCCCGCTGGCATAGAACTGGAAACAACCCCTGTTCTCAATGACAGTGGTTTTTCCTGTCACTTTCAGAGGGGACGTTTTGCATGCTATTGATTTTGTGACTGTAACAGCGCAGAAGATACTTGATTCTTTGCGTCGGGCTTAGCTGGAATACATGGGCACTATGATAAGCCAGTAGCTGCTTGGTTGTGGAACAAAGCTGTGTGTCATTCATCAGAGGTCACTTCAAAGACATTTTCACCTTATGAGCCGTTAGTTTGTTATTCATTCTTCTGCATCTGTTTTCAAACTGAGGCATTCTTTTAAGCAGTCACTTCATGGTGTGAAGAACAAAATCAATAGCAAGTCATTGGTGAGACCACTGTAGGTCCCACTTGTGATGGGCCCAGGAGTCCTGCTTAGTTAAGAGGACTTCATGGGTGGAGGTTCAAGGGGGAAGATGGTTGAAAAGAATCCTAGGTCTTTTTTTTTTTGGGGGGGGGGCACCTTGCAAATCCTGACTGTGTAATTTAGTGTTCCTCTTCTCTTCCCTAACAGTTCTCTTACTGGTTGGTAGCTTTTTTTTTCATCTTTTTTTTCTCTCATGTTCTTTCCATCTTTGCTTTTGTTTGTACACACTTATTTGGCGGTAGCAATGTTATTTGGAAAGGAAGAGGTGGACTATGCCCTGACACAGAGGTCCTGAGGAGAGAAGTGAGACTACAGCAACATCTTTCTCTGGCAGGAAGGAGGCTGTTTTTCATCCTTCTCATCCCTTAGTGGTAGTTAAGGAGTGTGTCCCCCTAGATGATTTTTGTTGTCTAATTCTGAATTTGTATGCATTTTATGTGCAATATAATGCTGAATTTTGAGCACAAAATCAAGAGCTTTTAAGCACTTCAATGTCACTGGGCTGTACATCCCTAAGTTAAAAGATTATTTATTGTTTTGTTGAACATTCTTGGTAGTCCCCCACTTCTTTTTTCCATACAGCCATTTCTTTCTGAGAAAGAGGGTGTTCATCTGAGGGTGTTCATCCCTGTACATAACCAGAACATGCAGACACTGTATGTGTGTCAAGGATGGAGGATCAGGGTTTAAAAATGTGATTCTATCTAGTTTGTAGTAATTTGTATCCTATTTTGAGCTTTTTAAAAAAAACTTTGCTCTTCAAAAGACTAGTTTTGACTAGTGTTGCAGATCTCCTGAGGTACAATAGCACAAAGCATTGTGCACCTTAATCTTGTGTTCTGTTGAGGCTAGGATGAACCGAAAGCTGCTTCTTTTGTTGAAGAGAGGGGAATAAAATCTCCATGCCCTTGTTGCTTTTGGTCTTGTGCAGTGACGGCATTGTTCAGGGAACTACCCAATGTGTGTGGAAGTGAGAGGATCGCATGCAGTTGTAACTTTTCCCTTTTTCCCATATCTCTTCCTGAAGACTCCCTCTGCACTTGCACTCCTTGAGAAGTACCCCTTTTCTGCTTTCATGAAATGCAGTTTATGCTCTTCTGACTTGCAAAGCTGTCCAGAGAACGTGTAAAGGGGCAACTGTTACAGCTCACTGGAATATAAAGAAATAGTCAATAATTGTGGCAGTAGCAGCAGATTGAGCAACTCAGTGGTTGTCACTGAACCACTTACTCAATCATAGTTTTGTCATGCTTCCATATTTGATGTGCCACAAATGTGAAGGTGAGAGGAATCTGTCCTGGTCTCCTTCATTCAGCAGTCCTTCCTGGTGCTGTAAAGGCAAAGCAGTAATCATTGGCCAAAGGAAGTGCATAACCTTCTAACTTGCTGCATGCCTGTTCCTCTTTATGCGCTTCTCTTTGGAAATGCGGGAGTATAATCATCGCCAGAATTTGTGCTGCTTTTGTAATGTATTTTTTATTCCTTTTTGCTAGCTGGCTTGCCTTTTGCAATTCTCAATTCAAGACGTATCCCCTTCCAGAGAGGAGTTTTCTGTAGTGATGAATCCATCCGGTATCCATACAAAGAGGACACCATTTCTTATAAGTTGTTAGCAGGAATAATTATTCCTTTCAGTGTAATTGTTGTAAGTTAAACTTTTCTTCATTGCATTTGATTTCATTGGGGGTGGGGAAGAGGGAGGAGGGGCAAACTTCTAAAACTGTACTCTGTAAGATTTCTCAACTTTAAAATAATGTCCTTAGACCAGGTGCTAAAGCAGTAGAAATGGTGTTCTGGCAAGAATAACTAAAAGGTTTTCTTTAATTGACGTCAAAGAATTAGAATTATAGAACAGAGAAAGAATACCTTAGAACTGTGGTGGCTTAATTCTCTAATCTGAGAGATCAAAACTTCATTCCTTACCATATCATTAATACACGCTAATGTATTTTAAGCGACTGTCTCAAGCTTTTCTATTTTGGGAGCTACTACTTTCAGAATATGGGTTTGCTTGACCTATTAACTCAGCATTTTTATCTGCCACAGAGCTGTTGGAAATACTTGTATGTGTGGAAGTGTAACAACGGATATTAAGTTCTTTCACAGAAAAAGATTATAGCTTCCAGTGGGAACCTATTAAAAGCATAACTAGAACAAAAAGAATAAGTAGCCAGGGAGTTTTTCCTTGAATGTTTCCCCAAAGGTCAGGATAAAACATTGGTCCCATTTGTGTTTGAGTTAATGCTAGGGCTTGCTTTCAACAAGGTTAGGTGCTGCATGAAAATGGGGTACTGTTCTACTTTCCCTCCTCATCACACCAGATCGGTGAGCTGGAGACGTTGCCTCTGCAGCTGCCAGTTCGGGATCGGCCTCTTTGACCACAGCTCCTAGCTCAGTTGAACTGCCTCAAGCATAGAGTGACTTTGTATCCTTAAGATATAATTGCATGCTGTCAGCTGAGCTAACCTAATAGCTTACTATGGACAAAAGGTGAGGTCCCACTATGACCCTGTCTTTTGCCACCTCTGGTGGCTTGTCTGAGCCAGGATAAGCTAGTGAAATTCCTTAACCTGGCAGAAAACAGCAGCTTTGAGCTAGGTTGAATGAAATGTCTCCTGGAAGAATACAATATCAGTGCTGAGGCAAAAGGTGGTGGAGGCCATACCCAATGGCCCAGGGGGAGAGCTGGATCTCAGTAGTTAACCATTTTGTGTCCTACGTGTCATGGGACTGCACTTAGTTCCAGTAATAGGCCTTCAACAGGGGCTTAAAGATCCCTGTTCAGATGTGCTAAAAAGCTTCAGACTCTACTCATGGCTCTGTGCTGGGTGACATCCAAGCTCATTGGAGCTACACTTTAAGCAGAGTTAAAGCTCTTATGCCAAATAAGATTTTTAGGTGTATAAATATTTATCCAAGCATATCTTGGGAATCGAAGCTGGAAAAGGAGCAGCTAAATGTAAACCGTAGTATTGGCCAGCTGTTTCTCTGGGCTAATGAGTTAATCAGGAGTGCTATTATGGCAATCTAACTCTTCCTTACATAAGGATTACATGTTTTTATATCTTGGTTCCAACATACAGGTCAACTTGTAGCTCATGTTTGCTCTTGGGTGGAATTTTTTTCATAACTTCAGAAATGTGGTGCTGGGAATTAAAACTGTGTCTTACCTAGCTTTCCTTTTCTTGGAAAACTGCTTCAAAAACTTCCAGAAATATTTCTGTAGCAGATAAAACTTTCGGTTTTTGTCCTATGAACTGGCAAGTGGTTTATGCTAAAAGATCCAGCCTTTTAAGATAGGGTGCTTTGTTTTCACCTTGTTACTAATGTTGGCAGTCAGTGTTACCTAGAAGCAGCACTACTTGGTCACAACTGAAGCCCATCTAGCTTGTTACCTCATTTCTAGCAGTGGTTAAAACAGATGAGTGAGGAAGAACAGAAGAATAAAGCAGAGAAAGATTGATGTTCTGCCCTTGGTATTTTGCTACCCGCCATTTGCAGCTCAGGGACTTCCCAAGTCAGAGAGGGCTTCAGTGAATATCGTAATATTTAATGGATGTATTTCCTTTGAATTTATTCAATCTCCATATGAGTCTGTGTGAACATTTAGCTAAAAGTTACCTTTGTAACATCAGGGACCATCTTTTAGTTGTGAAATCAGGCTTTTCTGTCAAGATTGCTTTAAAGCCAGATGGTAAAAGCACATGTTGGTGTCCTTTACTCATTGCCCAGACAAATTATTGAGTACTCTTTGATGTCTGTATCCAATGAAGTAGCTGCATTGACATCACGTAATTTTTTGTTGCCTCAGAGATAAGTGACCTTCTGGCAGGTTTTGCAGCAGTGTTTTTTAAAAGGGATTCATTATTTAAGAGTCATGGCTGTGATATTTCTGCTCAACTGTCGTTCATTAAGAGGTTACTCTCTGGGATAGGCAGATTCTGTATAAGAGCTTACCAACATCTGCTCTACTGGAAACTGTCAGCTTCAGTCCATGTTTTGGTATGGTGCAGAGTGTAAAACTTCAGTGTCGCGCATCTGATGGGATTGTCTGTTTGCCTTAAAGTGCAAAGCTGCTGGCAGCTACTTTGTCTGCCCAGTGTCTAATAACAGCTTCATTCAGCAAAGCTCAGCTTTGCTGGGATCCTGGACTTGTCACTCTCAAGTGACAGACAGAGCCGTCATTTAATCTTTACAGGATTTTAAAAGATCACTTTAGATATATGCATACAGCTCCCCCCATCTGATCTTCCGTATGAGTCGATCTTTTCTGTACAATCCAACCTGTCAGGGGTGAAGTTTTGTACTTGGTTTAAGGAAAAACTTACTTTCTGCAAAAGATAAAGTTGCAGGAAAACAAAATTAAATCTGCTTTCGTGTCAACATTTGATGCACACTTGATGCATGTACCGTAGACATGCAGGGTGAAAAATCCTTGGAAAGACCTCAGTAATGCCTGTCTTTCCCAAAACTTTTCTCCCCAAAAGATTCAGTTTTCCTGAGGAGTAGGAAATTTCTGTAACTGGCCTTTCACATCTGGAAATGAAGTCTAGACCCTACAGAATAGTCTCTGGCTTCACAAAAAACTAACAACTTTATGATGAAATAGACAAATTTTGCTCAGCAGAAGTTTAGCTGAAAAAGACTCAACATAGAATAAAATGTAATACTGATGAAAATGTTTCTGATCAGGGCCATGCCAAGTAATATGGATAACTGTTACTCTGAGAAGGCTTTGTTTTAGTAAATGTTCTGAAAAATAATATTACAGTTCAGCATGAAGCAGGGTAAGGTGAAAGTTTTGTTTCTTCTACATAAGTGTTCAAAGTTCGGGCATGGTTACTGCTGACTTTTGGAAAATTTAAATTTGCAGCTTAATGTTTATTAAAAAAAGTAATTTCTGAAACTACATGTCTGAGTATTAACAACAGTAGAGTAATAGCTTTCTTTTCAAGTGATTATCTTTCTTTAACTTTTGTCTTTATTTCTCTTTCAGATAATCCTAGGAGAGACTCTCTCTGTCTTTTATAATAATTTGCACTCAAATTCATTTGTCAGAAATAACTACATAGCCACTATTTACAAAGCCATTGGGACCTTCATTTTTGGAGCAGCTGCTAGCCAGTCGTTGACAGACATTGCCAAGTACTCCATAGGTAGACTGCGTCCTCACTTCCTCGCTGTGTGCCAGCCTGACTGGACACGAATCAACTGCAGTCTAGGTTACATTGAGAACTTCTCTTGTCAAGGAGACAGAGGAAAAATCAATGAGGGAAGGTGAGTTTGACTAACTTTGTATACTTGGTTGTAAGACCTGTTTCTTACCTTGGGAGGATGAGTTTGGTATGGCTACTGCATTTTTCATACTTCTCCTATAATAAATTTCTTGTAATGAATTTTAAACTTTGAGCCCTGTCTAGACACTGGTATTTTTTTCTAATTTGTGGAAACTTGGTTTTTATTAATGTACAGAAGAATGCATAAATTATTGGGTATTCATTTCTGCTTTTTTACAAAATGTGGGTGATGATCAGTTTTGATTGGCTCCTGTTTATGTTTCTAAAAATGTGCAGGCTGGTACAGTCTGCACATCCCAATGAAGAGAAGAATTTGAGATCTGCCTTCAAAATTAGATGTGGAATAGGAAGGAAAACAGTTTAGATTTAGAGTGAAAGCAAATCCATATAAAAATATACTGGACTGCTAAGAGTCACTCTACTCGATTTTCTCATTATTAGGCATTTCATTACCTTAAATACTATGTGCCAGTTCAACTGCAGCAAGATAACAGAAACAAAAACGAAGCATCTGACACATTGGGAGTTTTGTAGCTGTGTTATAAATAGCAATGTTTGAATGCTATTGGAAATGTTAAAGTATGTTCAGAGTAATTTCTGGTATTAGAGTTGCTTGAGCTCCCTGTAAGCTTAGCTTTAGAGAAACTCCTTGCCATTCTTTCTCCAGAAGACCTATATACCCTCTTAGTAAGAACTTTTGTCTGTGTGTGTGGTTTTTATGTGTGTGTAGGTTTTTCTCACTGTCCTCTGAGCTCATTTGCTCTTCTAGCATGTGTCCCCTGTGGATTTTCCAGTAGCATGCATGGTATTCCTCAGCAGCCACAGGAAAATGTTGCATCTTGATTTGATGGGGGAGCAGGTCCAGCTCCATGTCATGTACAGCAGCTGTTCAAAGGTTCTGGGAGTAGTTTGTATCTTGAATGGCTGTTGGTAGTAGAGGAAGAAGTGCATGGTGATAGATAGGCAGTATAGCAGATAATCCTAAAAAGAGCAGAATTTCATTCAGGTAGTAAACAGATAAATTGGAGTTTGTTCCTTGAGAGATTGAAGTAGAGGAGTGTGGTTCACATGCAGCACTCTTTTTGTATTCACAGTGCTCATAGTTGTGCTTAGAAAACCTTTATTTACTTATTCTAAGCTATTTTAGACATTGTTTATTGGATGGACTTTCCTTGCCTGTGAGTAGCCCTGTAGAGTCAGAATATCCACTGATAAGGTGTAACTTTTATCTCTGTTGCAGGAAGTATGTGATGTACTTTTGAAGACTTGTAATGGTCGCTTTCTGTATGACTGTCAACTTCAGTTTGGAAAAAGGCAGAGTAAACAGAGGATTTACATTAAATGTAGAAAACAAAGAATTTCTACACAGCATGTCTGTCAGACTTAAATGTTACTTACTTTTCAAATGTCTGGCTTGTAGTAGAACAACCTTAATAATTGAAATAAAGGAGATACTACCTCCTCCAAGGTAACAGGTTGTCTTGGCATCTTCTCAGCTTTGCAAATTTTAGTGGGATGAGTTAGCAGAAGTAATTGCCAGAAACTAACTCTGAAGAGTTTAAAGAAGCTAAAACGGTTTCTTACAACACAAGAGGAGGGGAATACATATTTTGATGTATATTACATTGTGGTGGGAGTAAAATGTTTAAAAATTTTTTTGCTTCATCTCAGTAGAAGTGATATTAATTTTTGTTATTCTGCTACCATGTGAAAAGACACTTGTCTACTTCCAAATGGAGTGAGTCTTTAAACAAAATTGCACATCCCCAGATGCCTTATGAAACAGAATTGCATGGCTTTCAGCATGAGACTGTGGGGCTGAAATTCAACTTGGGCAGAGCTCTGAGTCTTCAGCTGGACTTCTGCATGAGTCTAAAAACGCTTCTCAAATGTGAAGAGGGAAGAGGAGAAAATTTGAGTTCATTTCAGTGACTAAAATGGTCCTGAAATAAAATTTGCTGGTTTGGAGGGATCCTGAAAAACAAAGCTGGCTTATTCTCAAACAAGGAAACAGATTTCTGTTGTATGAGAATGACATGAGGGAACAATGGCATAATGATCACTTAGCTTTTGTTCTTCCCTGTGCAACTAGTGCTTCTGTATTGGAAGCAAGATTTGTCTGTCATATCTTGATGTATGAGCTGTTAGGTTTGTTTTCCCAGCTGCTGTTTTGTTCCCTGTTTCTGTTGTCCCTATTGCTCCCTAGAAAATCATGTAAGATGGCTCTTCTTTTTGGTCAAAGCTTGCCTTGAAGTGAGTGACTTCAGTATGAGCTCGCCTGTGGTGCTTCTGCTCTCAGCTGAGGCTTTTCCATGCACAGGAAGCTATAAACAAAAAGTCAGTGAGTGACCAAAGAAGTGTAGATAAAAGTGGGAGATTGTCCTGTACAGGTGGATGTCATGGATGCAGTGACCCCGTAAATTATTATGGATTTCTTATGGAAATTGGGCCCTACATCTGAAAGGGTGGTTTCAATTCTTGTGTCATATGCCTATAGACCTTACACTTAAGCCACTAAAAGGAGGGAGTTTGATTGCAGTGAGTTTTACAGCAAGTTGGAGGAGGTCACTAGGCTCTCAAACTGTAACTCAGAGGTGAATTTCTGGATCAGTTGAACAAAATTATTAGCAGCAAACTTACTGCCATCTACCTTCACTTGCACAAAATAAATATGCAGGTAGAAATACCAAGAAAGAATGATGATAGGACAATCATATATATAGTGTTGCATACAAATCATGTGTGCTTAATTGAACCTATTATCCTGTGTAGTAGTAGAGCTTGAGAATGTTTTTGAATATCTTTAGAGATTCATGCTCACTTATACAGCCAAAAAGACAAATCTGATCTTTGTTTACTATTTCTTAATTTGTAGCAGGAAAACAATGCTTCTAGTGTAAAAATCCATTGTGTGCTTCCACGTATTGTACTCTTCTGTTTTGTTCTCTCCTTACTTCTCATCCCTTTTCATCATCCCTTCTCATCTTCTTATACTTACTAAAATATAAACTAGTTTTGGTATGCAGCATCCTTGAGTAGATCAGAGCTTTTTGTCTGAAATAGAGTAAGCAGGTGTGTGTTGAAGAGAAGTGTAAGAAGGAAGTCTCCGAAGGGTACTTTAGAAGTGGTATGGAAGTTAGGTTATGAACAATTGTTCCCATTTCCTCCTAATAGTAAAACTAGAAGGCAAAACATTTGAAGTAGTTTCTTATTTTTATTTTTTCCCACGTGAAGATTAAGAAGATGAAGTAAGCTATGGAACTCTGCAGTGCTGGGATGTGTAAATTTGTAGGTGGATACAAAAAGCCCTTTGAACAAACTTCTGAAAGATAAAACCAAGAAAAAACTCTATGTTTCTGGAAGCCTGTAAATTACGGTTGGAGGCTGAAAGTGTTCCGGGCAAGCACCAGTGCATATTTTGTTCCAGTATTGTTTTATGCAAATCTGATGTTTGCAACCCTTTGCTTATATCTACTATGTTATAACATGGGGGCATGGGAGAAAGATAATAATTGGTCTTTATTATTCATCAATAATAGTAGTATTAAAATATATGCTAAAATACATATATGCTTTATCATTAATATAAACAATGGACTTATGCTCGGCTGTCTAAACTAAAAAAGTACTTGTGGGTTCTAATTAGTTTCAGTAGGGTTTTACTTTCTAACATGAGCTTGATAAGCTAATTCTTGCAGACTTAAGTATCTTGTTTGCTCTGTATTGTGCTGAAAGAGTCCTCTTCAGTTTTAAATATCTTCGGTTCTCTGTGACAACTGTTATAGTGTGTTTGCACTTTCAGTACCACTTGTGGTTAAACTAAGCTGAGATCACAATCACAGTTGTGTGCTTAGTAAATATCGTTCATACTTCTTGAAAAATGTATGTAAGAGTTGGCATATATTACTTGAAAGCACATAGCACTTGCAGACCTCTAAAATATGCATGGAAATAACTAGTTATATTAAAAATTGCTAGTTAAATTAAGTATTATCATTAATAATAAACATAAATAGTAAACATAAACTGTGTATTCTTCTGTATCTCTTCGTAAGACAATCTTTTCTTCAGGCAGTCTTGGGCATTTAATTTAAGCTAGACACAGAAGCTTGGTATGAGCTACTTCATGGCAGTTTTCTGAGGGTAAATGACTTACACAGAACTAGATTCTCAAGGTTTTATGAAGGTATTGCTAGGTTTGATGACAGCTAGTTGTGTGTAGAGCTTTGCAATATTCCATTTAAATAAATAGTAAGAGTAGTAACTCAGTAGAAGTACTTGACCTGTGAAGGTGATTTTTATTTTAAGTATCAAAATAGCAAAGTTCTCCTTAAAACACATAACACAGTTGAGTAAGACATATTTTTTTAAATGTAGTTGCACTGGGCAGAAGAGTACAGCACTTCATATCAGGTAGTTTATTTACTGGGAGACAATGGCTTGTTTTAGTGTTTTAGAAAAGTAAGTTTGATTATACAAGCACAAGTGTAGTGCCTATGAATGAGGAGGGATCAAAGCCAAGGGGTCCTCTTGTCACTGGTCCTACTAATTAGCATGTCACTTGTAGCATACCAGTGTATACTCCTAATGCTGCTGGATTGCCTTTAAGGTGCTTTGTTTAGCACTTAAAATACAATGACCTGGAAGATGGCTGTTTCCTTCTTCAAATCAGCACGGTAGGGCTCAATAAAATAGGTAGGTGTGCTTAGGCTGTAACCCTGATTGGGGATGTGAGTGAGCAGTCTCTACTGATCTCTTTGGCTTTTGCAGCTCCTATTCCTGTCCAATTCTTTTTCTTCTGGCTTGCTACTGCTTACCTTTGCCTGCCTTAGAGTTGGTTGGCAAGATACCCAAATACCTCAAAGAGGTGTAGGCAGAGAGGACACTGAAAGTACAAATGATGACTTCTCCATTTCTTATAAGTAAGCTAAGGCCTATTTACCAGACCTATCCACTCTAGTCAGTCCATGGCAGATTGTT